CTTCTGCCCATGCAGAGAAATATCGAACTACATGAGAATGCTGTCCAAGCACTGCATGAGCATATACTTCTCTCAAAGCGTTCTGCCTAGGAAGAATTTGAGATTAATAGAATAATTTTTATTCATGTCTAAACTGAATTAATTTATCTGAAACTTCATAAAAGAAACTTGACTTCTGTATCTATTTTTTTTTTTTAATCCTCACCCAAGGACATTTTTTTGTCTAGAGTGGGAGGGAGGAAGAGAGAGAGAGAAACATTGACGTGAAAGGGACACCTCGAGTGGCTGACACCCGCAAGACCAACCAGGGCCAGGGACAAACTGCAACTGAGGTACGTGCCCTCAGCGGGAACCAAACCCGGGTCTCTCTGGACCACAGACCAACACTGAGCGAAACGGCCAGGGCTCTGTATCTATTATTATGCTGAAAAACCAACTTGAGAGAGAAGGAGTTAAGACTTTGTGCAGCCCTGGCCGGTTTGGCTCAGCAGTTGGAGCGTCAGCCTGTGGTCCAGAGAGACCGGGTTTGTTCCCACTGAGGGCACGTACCTCGGTTGCAGTTTGTCCCTGTCCCTGTCCCTGGTTGGTCGTGCGGGTGGCAGCCACTTGATGTGTCCCTTTCACGTCAATGTTTCTCTCTCTCTCTTCCTCTCTCTCCCTCCCACTCTATCTGAACAAAAAATGTAAAAATGTCCTCGGGTGAGGATAAAAAAAAACAAAACTTGGCAGATGTTCCCAAAGGCTTCCATTAAAGAATAGCAGTTAGAAAGAAGAAACCGTACTTGGACCTAGAAATCTGGAAAGATGAAACTCCCATTTAACTGTGAATTCATGGATGCTACTAGAAATGAGAAATTTAAGTTAGATTCCAAAATCAGACTGCTCATATTATTTTACCAATCCAATAAGAACTAATGGTACAAAATGAAAAGGATCTGATTATATCGTTATAACTTCTCAAAAGTTAAAGAATTAATTAAATTCAATGCGTGATTATCTAAAACCTTACTGTTTGTAACACCATAGGGAACAAAAGATCAAAAGACAAAATTTTTAATACATACTCATCAACAGAGCCGGCCAATGGCTTTTTTGATCTCTTAATGGCATAAATGCATCCATCCAGCCTCTTCACACATTTAAACACAGAACCAAATTCTCCAGAGCCAATTTTCTCTAGCTCATGAAATTCTGTTGTATACCGTGACTTCATATTGCTTTCAGTAATTGTAATTCTCTGTAATAAAAAGTGTATCCATATGTATAATACAAAGATATCAAAATTATTTTTTGCATGAAGATAGCACAGTGTGTAAAATTTTTAAATCATATGTTTTAATGCCTATTTAACATGTATATTTGGTAACCTGTTACAAAATAGAAAACCACATCTCAGAAACAATAAAAAGAAAATTAAAAGCTATTTACTTTAGCAGGTCTTGTTTCATCTTCAAACTCATAATCACTTGCTTCCATGTCTTCACCACAGGAACTGAAAAATATTATGTATTTTTTATCAATATAACTGAAAAATCAAGTAGAGATCCAAAACTTTGATAGGTGAAATGAAATTTTAACGAATAAAAAAACAGAAAGCATTTAATTTTGTAATCACAAGATACAGCTCAGGTGATGAAAATGTAATCCCTGCTTAAACATGCTCACTAACCAGAAGCAACACCACCAAGCACATCAAAATTAAAGCCTTTCTAAATCAACTCTCTGTGCCTGCCACTTTTTGACACCAGTGGATTTCCTACAAGCTATCTAAATATTTCACTCCTTCCTTTCTCATGGCACTCCTTTTCCACAGAGATTATTTCCCACCTATCTCTGCTGAGAATTAGATGCTAGTAATAGAAAAAAAAAATTCAGAGCATAAACTTCCATGTCATTCAGTTAAAAATTACATTTTGATAAGATACCCAAACAATCTTGGGTAGTTGGGGAACCAAATTATCGAATAACTAACTTACTCATTCCAGTATGTTCTCTTTCTTCTACGACACTGTCCTGAGGAATGAAGTAACAAAGAATCTGGAGTAAAAGGATTAATATTCACTTGAGGAGTCTGTCGAATATCAAATTCTCTTTTTCCTGATTTTTCTGTATCCATGAATAGAGAACCACCTCGGAGTTTAACAGAGCTGGAATCGATTCCTCGAGCTTTGGAGAGCAAACTCTAGGAGAGGAAAAATGTTTTTAGGATCCAAGTCCTAAAGGTCAAAGCAACACACAAGCCTTGAAATAGTACAGTATTTCAAGCAAAATAAAGTGGTTAACTTAGGAGTCTCAAGCTGGATACTAACCACCTTTTCTGAAAAAGTTAGCCAAGTAAAATAGGTCTAGAGCCCAAAAACATGAATGCATAGCAAAATTAAGTTCATTCTAGCTGGGCTGGTATGGCTCAGCGTGAACCCATGCACCAAGAGGTCACCAGTTCGGTTCTGATTGGGGGACCAGTCCATGTTCTCTCATCGATGTTTCTCTCTCTCTCTCCCCCTCTAAAATCAATAAAGAAAAAATACTTATAAAAAAATTAAGTTCATTCTAGAGGCCAGGAGTTAACAAACCCTTTCTAAAAATAGAAAGCAGTAGGGGAGGCCCCACAAAAGCTCCTCTTCCCTTTCCCCCACCCACCTTCATCTAAATAGGGCTTTGAAAGCCACCACCGCTGGGCTCCTCCCCTCACTTCTAGAGGAATCTTGCCTAGGGCAAGTCTGCTAATAACAGTCAAGCTCAAAAGCTTACATCTTCCTGAGGTTCTGAAACTTACTTTAAAAACTACGTCTCCTATATTATTCTTACAAATGCGACACTTGTCTTAATTTCAGGAAGTGTCCATTTATAACTCTGCTGTTAGTTCTAAAGTTCTAAGTGGTAATCGGCATATTTCTTACCATTTAACAAACAAACAAGTGTTGAGCACCTACTTCATGATGCATTAACATGAACACAGAAGGGTCCAAGCAACAATCCCAATGCTGACTTTTTAACAGCTGGATATTCCTAATCATCATACTTAGGTGACCAAACTTGGTCACTGCAAACCCAAAGGTGTAAACACACGCTGACCCAATAAAGATGCCCAGGAAGATTCTTAAGTGCTACCGTGACTTGTAAGTCTTTAAGAGCGTAAAAAGGGCCAGCCTTTTCTCCCTCCCTACCTCAAACGTTCCCCATTCAGAGGACACGACACGAAACGACAAGCGCATGAAAATTATTTTAACCGAACTCTTGAGTGCGCCGCCCAAATTACAGGACCGATCACAGCGTTTAAAAGGCACCGTAAGGCTTCGGCACTCGCGAGTGTCAGGTGGCGGGGCCAGCACCAGCCCAGCATCCTTCCAAACTATGTTATGGGTGCTACACTCCGGCTGACACGCTCCGGGGAGCCCCCATTCGGCGAGCGGTCAATCGTGAGCCACCTAGACGGCACCGACCAGCCCCTGTGAAAGACGAAGAAGTTCCAGACGAGACCCATTGTTCAGTTATATAATCTTAACGGACAACTTCTGGGCAGGGCCAAGAAGAAAGGCTGCCAACTTTTTGCTGCTGCGCAGGCGAGGGAGCCGGGGCGCGGCCGGGCGGTTATGTAACCGAACCCGGGAGGCGCCGCGCTCCACGCAAGGCGCCGTCGCCTTTTTAAAAGGCCGGCCCGGCGCGGGCTCGGGGCGCCCCCGCCGCGTCCTCACCTTGGGGGTGTGCGGGGTGTCAAACAGCCGCAGCTTGCGGAAGGTCTTGTGCGGCGGGGTGCCGGGGTGGTCCCGCAGCGGCGAACACGGGCCCTCGCCAGCCCTCCGCTCCCCGTACCCGCGCGGGGACGCGTCCTCCGGGCCGCCGCAGCGCACCGGCGAGAACGAGCTGCCCAGGAAATAGGCGGCCGCCGGCGACTTGACCGGCGACGAGGAGCCGAAACCCTCCTCCTCCCACGAGTCGCCCTCGGCCCCGCCGCCGGACGCGTCCGCGCCCGGAGAGGCGCCCCGCAGCAGCATGTCCTCTTCCAGCTCCCCGGGGCTGCCGGGGGCAGGGCTGGGCGAGCGGCGGCCCTCGGGCCCGGGCTCGGGGGGGCTCCGTGCGGGCGGCAGCGGCGAGTCAGGCTCTTGAAAGGCCGAGTCCTCCCCGGTGCTGTGGCCGCTGCCCTCCTCCTCCTCTTCCTCCTCCTCCTCCTCACAGTCGCTGCAGGGAGAGAAGATCAGCTTCTGCCGCAAAGTGCAGGAGGCCCCGGAGCGCCGCGGCGGCGGCGGCTGCTGCCGGCTCAGGAAGCTCATCGCGCCCCGGGGGCCGGGACGGAGAACGGGAGAGCCGGGACTCGCGGAGTCCAGGGCACAGCCTGCCCAGGGGGCGGGTCTGCCACGTGCGACTGGGCGCGTCTGTGGCCGCGGCGGCGGGTCTGCGTGGCGGTGGGCTGCGGCTCCCGGGCGCTCGGCGCTGCGGGCGGCGGCGGGGGCCGCGGCCGCGGCGACGTGGACTGTCCGGCGGAGGTGGGGCGGCCCGGGCGCCGAGGGTGAGGTCTCCGCAAGTCCAGCCGCGAGTTCGGGCTCCGCGGCTTCCCGCGACCGTTAACCACGTGACTGTCCAGCCCACCAATCCCCGCCCAGCCCCGGGTTTGAAAAAAAGAAGGGCGCGACGTAGCCCGCGGGGGAGGGATTAGCTACGTGATTTTGGCGCGAACCCGCTGGCTCCGTCCCCCCGTCGGCGCGGGGCCCGGCCTGGGCGGGTGCCGTGCGACCGGCCTATGGGACAGCCGGACCGCCGGGAGCCTGGGAGCCGAGGCGGCACGTCTGGGAGGGGGCGGATGGAGCTGGGCTGACTGGGCGGGACCGAACGCCGTCCTGAACTCGGCCTCCTCGCGGCCCCTCCGGCGCTGCGGGCTCTGAAGTGGGACTGAGGGCTTGGGGCGCCTCGGGGTCCCTGCAGGACCGCCATGGCCCTCGGGCCCTGCCCGGGGAGGCCGGCCTCCTGTGCCCCGTGCCGGGTGTTGTGGGCGTGGCTGAGGGCAGTCACGTTCCCGGGTGGAGGTCAGGGCCGGAAACATCGACCCGGGACTCGGGTCTTCCGGGCTGTGGGAGCTGAGTTCCCAGGTCGGACACCGAAATCGGCGAGAAGACGGAAGCGCGAGTTCTCGAGGCGAGGCCACCGGCTTCGGGGGCGGCCTCTGGGCCTGTTTTACAAAACCCAAGGTGGCCGTTAGGATGGGGTGTGCCTGTAGCGAGGTGAGCTCCCCCCAGACTGTGGTCCGCTCTGCAGCCCACCCCCGACTTGTGCAGAGCAAACATGAACGCGCGCCTGGCCCCAGCACGGAACCGAGCGCCCGCCGGCGGCCGCGGGGCTTGCCCGCACGTGGGCAAGGGTGGCACAGCGCATTGGCCCGGCTCGCTGCGAACTTAAACGCCACTTGAGAAAAAAAGTCCTCTTGTATTCCACCAAATTGTGACTTCATCCGTCTCTTATTGTCGCATATGCAAATTTATTAATTTTCCGGTTGTAAATAACCCCGTGGTGAAAATTGTACCTTCTCTTGTTTTTTCCTCTGTGTTGTGTGTGTGTGTGTGTGTGTGTGTGTGTGTGTGTGTGTTTTATTCTTTAGGATATCGTTTTAGAAGTGAGAATAGCTGGAACAAAGAGAAACTGCCAGATTGCCCTCCAGAAAACACACACACGCACACAATTTAAGTTCTCGGTAACAGTTGATTAGAGTACACTTTTCGTGCCCTGGCCGGTGAGGCTCAGTTGGTTGAGCATCATCTCCAGCGCCCAAAGGTTCAATTCTCAAATTGATATTTATCTCTATCCCTTTCCCTTCCTCTCTCTAAAATCAATAAAAACAATAAAAGTAGAGTACACTCTAAGGGAATTCTAGACATCACTGGGTATTTAAAGTTCATTATGTAGTTTTGTTGTTTTGATTGATTTCTATTGTCTGGTTTTCTTTTGTAGCACTTTCTGAATATTAACACTTTGCTGTATGTGTTGTTCTAACGCTTTTCTTTGTTTTTTGGTACGTGCCCCTAGCGAGAACCGAACCCAGGACTCTGGTCCACAGGCTGACGCTCCAACCACTGAGCAAAAACACTTTTCACAAGCTAAACTCAAGCTGGATTTTTAATAATGGAAACACATTTTAGTACTCATCACATGGGGAATTCACTGAAGACACAGTGAAGGGTGAATCACTGTCTTCTACAAGCATTTGCTAACATGTATAAAATGTCTTTTTTGCATGTTAATCCAAATTCAATTTTAAGCTCTTGGAAGACAGGAAATCTACCCTTTAATATGTTTCAAGAAGATTTACACCTGCCTTCCAATGCCTCCTCTTCTTCACTCCTCCTGATTACAAATAGAATTTTTTTAAGTTAAAATTTCTTTTTACTTTTTGCTAGTATTTTTTTAAACTTTATTTTTATTGTTGACTCTATTAACAGATGTCCTCATTGCCCACCTCCATCCATTCCCTGCTCCCCTTCCTCTGGCCATCACCACACCGTTTTCAGTATCTGGGTTATGCATAAACGTCCTTTGGCTAATCCTTTCACCTTTACTTTTTTATGTGGATAGTTGACAGTTTCCCCATTTCGTGTGAAATTAAGTAAAAATAACTTTAGAAAATTTCTCCTCTTTATTAATCTATAACATGAGTTGTGTATAAAAATAGTGTGCTTGCTTCCTAAGTAAATGGAAAATTTAAGCCCCATAGACACTCTTGCCCACTAGATTGTTGCTCCTAAGCCTCTACCATATAGGAATTCTTTATCCCCTGTTACTATCCATGCAAACTTACATCCCCTCCCCCTTCCCTCTTTCACAGCACCATGCTTTATATCCTCAACAGGCCTATATAGGTCTCAAAGGGTATTATTACTATCCCCTTCTAGAAAATGAAGTCCCTTGAGTGTAGGGACCTTTTCTACTTGCTTAATGCAGTATTCTGATGTAGCTTAAGTGCTCAGTATCTTCCTAGTGATAATAGATCCCTTAAATATTTATTGGTTTATCTTTCTAAATGTAAATTCAAATGGTACAGAAGTCCCACCTACCCCTTCAGCCCCCAGCCCAAGTTCCCTTTCTGGAGGTAAACACTCTTAACATGTATGGTATGTATGGTTTTTTTTTCAAATCTTAATTTGGCCACCTATCTGCTTCCCTAAACTGAGAGGTCCTTGAAGTAGGCTAGGACAAAGGGACTGGGTTCTTAATGGAAAGGGTTCTTGGTCCACAGCCCTAGTACTTTGAATTCTTGGCACCCAGGTCCTCATAACAGAATAGGAGAGAGAAATTCCCAACAAGTGTGTAGAATGACTGGTGGAAAGAGAAATTTCTTTAAAAGTTGAAAACAAGACTCAGTGTAAGAACCATTTCCTCTCTAAAACCTTCCCTTGACTTTCTCCACTTCCAGGTAAAAGGCATATTTTATACAGCAGACTTGCCACCACACCTGTAACAGTTTTTGATTATTTGTCTGGTTTCCCTCCCACCCTGGGCTGAGATCAAGTATTGTCTTTAGAGTTTCAGCAACCAGCAGTGTCCCTTGGCCCCTGAAAAGGTACTTAATAAACATTTCTGGAATAATTTAATAAAAATTTTGTGTTCCTTAAAACAAAAGTGCTAAAATGAGTAAGAAACCCAGGCCCTGCCTCCTCCAGCTAAAAACATGGCACAATGTTATGGTTTAATTGCAGCAGTGTCCTAACTGAAATTACAAATTATTGTTCTGATTTTTAAAATTTCTTGCTTCTGTTTACAGTACTCACTGTACTGGGGAAACAGGGTTACACCCACCTACCCTAGGGCATATCTAATTCAAATTTCCTGTTCTTTTCCTACCCAGTGTTGTTTCTAACTATAATGTTGCTAGGCAACTTTTACAGAATCCACGAGCTTGTGGTAATGTTGTAATAACTGAGTAAAAATCTTGCCTCTAGGTGTTGGCAGAACAAACTTAACCTGTTTATTCCCTTTAAAAGGCAGATGACTTAGCACTTTAATACCACTATTGTCAGCCCATTCACCTTACTTAGCAAAAGCAGCAAGGTTTCTGCCCTAAAGATTTGTGATTGAGATTCCTAAATCACCCTCTCAAATACTTTTTATACAATTACATGAATATATGTGCATATTATTAACATAAGAATGCACTTTTGAATGAAAGATACTTCAGAACTGGGAACTAATTTTTACAGTCTAGGAATGTTTCACAAAACTAGCCAGGCTTTACCCAAAGCTGAATTTTTTCTAGTTTATGTTTTGATTCTGGAGAAATAATAACTTTCTATAAACAAGAGCCTACTCTGATAGATTTCTAATTAAAATAAAATAAAAGAGTCATGTTGCTCAAATTTGTTTTTCACTTAAAAAGCAAACATGCCAAAAAAAGTTAAACGGTCTTTCTTCATCTTCCTTGTTATCGTTACCTTCCCCCTTCTGCTGGTTCTCTCAGCAAACCTCACAACTTCTGCCCGGCTCTAACTGCCAATTACCAACTGTCAGTTGGCCCCAGGAATCCAGATCTCAGGCTGGAATGTGGTAACTCCTACCACTGCTCCTGTTTGACTTCCCAGGTATAGATTTTTCTACTCTTGTCACTTGTCTTTTTATCCCTCAGATGGATGACGTTGTCTGACTATTTCAGCCCACGTTCATCAGCTCATCCTGAGAATATAGTACTATATAATCAATTCCTCCTTAGTTCAATGGAGTATGTCTGAAACTAGCATTGTTCCTTACAAATACTGTTCAATAATGTTATGTGTGCTTTTAATTATAGTAATATTGTTTGAAATCAGTCCACACTTATTAATGGCTTTGTATCCAATGAAATAACCAAATCAAAACAAGATGGTATTGATATAAGAATTTAAAAAGCATAGCTCAGGAAAAGTGACCAGTTGAGAGCTTGTATTTTAATGAAGTAAATATCATTTCTTGTCATGCCTAAATAATCTTTAAGGAATACTAATATACTATTTCTGTTTATCCTTCTAACATATCTATAAGGTAGATGAAGGGCAGATTTCATATATTTTAGGTATGGATTATATAAATTATATGGATTATATGCAAAAAGTCTGAGGATCTAAGATTCTCATACAGTTTTTGCTTGGGATCCTCAGCTATGACAAACCATACTAGGATGCGTACACAACACCTTGGCTATAATCAGCCATATTAGTGAAAGAAGCCCTCAGGACTGCTCCCAGTTATCTCAGCCCTTATTTACACTGGCCCTTAATCTTGAAAGATTTGATAGTCCATTGCAGTCAGCTAGCCCTGTGGCAATGATACTAACTTCAAGACTTTCCCAAGAGAAAATACTGATCTCTGACTGTCATTCCTAGATAAGAGAGTTTTTTTGTTTTTGTTTTTTCCTTTTTATTGAGAACATCGATTGGCCGCCTCCTACATGCCCCACCCTGAGAATTTGGCCCACAACCTGGGTATGTACCTTGACTGGGAATCAAACCAGCAACCTCTTGGTGCATGAGTCGACGCTCAACCACTGAGCCACACCGGCCGGACGAGAGTTATTTTTTTTAAATATTTTTGTTGTTGTTGTTGTTGTTTTAATTTTTTTATTTTATTTTTTTTAATCCTCATCCGAGGACATTTTTCCATTTTTTGTACAGACAGAGTGGGAGGGAGAGAGAGGAAGAGAGAGAGGGGGAAACATCGATGTGAAAGGGCCAGGGCCGGGGACAAACTGCAACCGAGGTACATGCCCTTAGCGGGAACCGAACCCGGGCCTCTCCGGACCACAGGTGGACATTCTAACCGCTGAGCCAAACCGGCCAGGGCTTAATTTATTTTTTATCCTCCCCAAGGACATTTTTTCCATTTTTTTGTCCAGATAGAGTGGGAGGGAGGGAGGGAGGGAGAGAGAGAGAGAGAGAGAGAAAGAAACATCGACGTGAAAGGGACACATCGAGTGGCTGCCACCCACACAACCCAACCAGGGCCGGGGACAAACTGCAACCAAGGTACGCGCCCCAGCGGGCACTGAACCCGGGTCTCTATGGACCGCAGGCTGACGCTCTAACTGCTGAGTCAAACAGGCCAGGACTTAAATATGTTTTTATTTAAATTTTTTTTCTCTTTATTGATTTTAGAGAGAGAGGAAGGGAGAGGGTGAGAGAGACAGAAACATTGATGTGAGGGAAACATGGATTGGCTGCCTCCTGCAGCCCCCCTACTGGAGATGGAGCCCTCAGCACTGGCA